CTTAACTGCGTCTATATTAGTCTCTTAAAGTTAAGATGTGCGTTGTTTATATAGTAAAAAAAAAGTATGTTGTAATAAACAATATAAACTTAAAAATTTTAAGATTAGTTTGCTTTTATTTTCATATTTTCCACAGGCTTAAATGGAGTGATGTTTACTATTCCGATCATTTTACTATGACGTCAATATGGTAATGCATACTTTTCTTCAACATAACTTAAGTAAGAAATTTTACACACACACACACACACACACACACACACACACACACACACACACACACACACACACACACACACACACACACACACACACACGCACACACAGGTTTGACATGTATATTTAAATACACAAAAATCTAAATGGTCTGTAAAATTCTTTTTTTTTAAGGCGTTCACTACCAAAAGAATCAAAAAAAAAAATTTCCAAAAAATTTGTTTGCTTGTTTCAAGATTTTTGTACAGAATATTTTGAGTAGTTTAATAAAAATATTAGTGAAAAATATCGCCGTTTAAGTATTTTCAAATTTCCTTTTTTTTTCCGTTTACAATATCCTAAAAAAATATGTTTCGCTGCTTTATTTTTACAAAAAAATGTTTCATAAAAATTTTGAAAAAATAAATGATTGATTTAAACCAACAGAATAACTTATGAGTTCTTTTATAAACTCAACAATTGCCAAAATTATTAATTTCTTTACACCTGAATGACAAAAAGTTTAAAAGATAGTTACTGTTTAAATAGAAAAGCATTTAGCTTGTTGCTTTTTGTTTATTCAATGTATTAATTAAGAATTTTAACCTCAATTAACGCCTTCCTTGATCATAAGTACATTTGATAGAAAGTCCCATTAGACCACAACTTCACGTAAACACAGGACTTAAAGGTGTTTAAACTACAACTTTCTGGTATTAGACGTCTTTTACCAGGGATGCGGAGTCCTAAAAGAACTCCGGCTTTATATCTCTACTTTTTCCAAGCCTGTAGTGCCCAGAAGCTCTAAACATGTTTGTAGACTTATGATCTGCTATAAAAAAAAATTCATGAGATTTAATGACTTGAAACTTATTGTTTTTAAGCCCGGAGTCCTGGAGTCCTTGCCGCCATTATACCTAAGGACTCAGGGTTCAAAAAATGAATGTTCCTCTAACCTAAAAGTCTTAATTTTTTACCTATTAGTAGTCTATAAACTTATTTATATTTTTAGAGCTCCTGGATACCAAAAACTAGGATTAAGCAATCTTTTCTTGACTTTCAAATCCGGAGTCCTTTTTTGGACTCCGCATCCTGTCTTTTACATGTCTTATGGACGTTGTGTTGTGTGTTTACTGAGTTGCTGTTTAATAATTGAAACTCCATAACTGTAGAATTTTAGAATTGTAGGATTTTAAAATTGTAGGATTTGAAAATTGTAGGATTTGAAAATTGTAGGGTTTTTAGTGTTTAGTCTCTAAAAAAAAAACATTTTTTAATAATCGAATGTTTTTTGAGGATTTTCCCTCATTTTTTTAATATTCTCAAAAAACGAGGTAATGGAGCATAGTGGAAAATTATGATATTTAGGGTTCATATTTGATAAAATGAAGCAATCATATTAAATTCAAAACAAAATATAATAAAAAAAAAAGCAAAAAGCCACTTCTTTTTTTTAAATTTAAACTTAACTTATTTTCAGGTTAGTACACAGTTAAAAAATAGTTGACGCTATTGGAATTAAAAACAAGTCTAAAAAAGTTTTAAATATGCCGTTTTGTACACTTTAAAAATGAATGGTTAGTTTTTAATTGTAAAAGGAAATTATTTCATATTTTATATATTCATGGGAATTATAAACTAAAAGATGTTCTTCTGAATGTAAAGATAACTTAAAATGGTAGATGTAAGATAATAAAATAAATATTTTCTATAAGTAAAAAAATCGTCGATTTTAGACAGTTAATCAATTTAAATGTTTAAATAAAGTGTAAAACGTATTATATATTGTTCAGACAAAACAGGATAACTTAACAAAAACGATTATCACATTACACGACAGGATTTTGACACACGTACCGTTTGATCTGTTTAGTCTCAGTTTTTTGAAAATAAAATACAAAAGCTAAATTCAATATCTACATCTATCTATCTATCTACCTATCTATCTAATTCTCTCTCTCTCTCTCTCTCTCTCTCTCTCTCTCTCTCTCTATATATATATATATATATATATATATATATATATATATATATATATATATATATATATATATATATATATATATATATATATTTATATGTATATATATATATATATATATATATATATATTATATATATATATAAATTAGGGCCCTGCGAAGCTTCAAAATTTCGAATCGAATCGAATCAAAAATATAATTCGAGATACGATTCAAAAATTTTCAAAAATCGTATCCTTACTTATTTTGTTTTTGTTGTGGGTATTTTAGATATTCTGCGCTTTTGCGCTATCAAAATAACGTTACTTATCCTTAAATACCTTTTTAATCAGTCATTAAAAAGGTTTACCAGGGCAAGAAGCATCAATAAAGAGATTATACAATTGTTTTATTTTATTTTATTTTGAAATATATAATTAAAAAAAAAAGCTTAAATTTAGACTTCAAAATGTTGATTCGAAACGTGATTCGAATCAAGAATTCCTTTGATTCGAGATTCGATTCGAAATAAAAACTGACGATTCGCAGGGCCCTAGTGTATATATATATATATATATATATATATATATATATATATATATATATATATATATATATATATATATATATATATGGCTTATATATTTGATAGAACAAACAGAACTGGTTCTTAGCCATTTAATCTGTAATTAAAGTGTTTGTTTATACTTTTTAACTGGATTTGAAAAAAATAATTTTATTATTTTATAGTTGAGTGGTAATTGACCAAAACAAAGAACTAAGCTAAAGTTTTCAAAAACCTCTCAGCGTTTATTAAACTATCTTTTTTCTACCCTATTTTATTAAATTTAAAACAAGTGCATTTGTAGTAAGTAATATTAAATGCTTTTGCAAAATAAAAATATAGTAACGAAAAGTAAGACCATATTGAAAGTTATTACCTTAACTTTTGTGTTATAAAAAAAAGAAGCCAGATATCGCATTTGGATCAAATTACTTAATGAACTCATAAAGTCTAGAACTGCTAGATTTTTTTTGATTTTGACAAAGATTTTCTAATTAAGTTCTTCCTACACTGACACAGGATTTTAATTTGACGCATTATTTCGTAATTAAATTAAATTAAAAAGCGTAACTTTGAAATCATTTAAAAAAGAAGCAAAGCAAAATAAAAGAATTTTTAAAAACATGAACGTATTAAATGTTACCTACTCATTCACATATTTTTTAAATGTCGTTTCCAAGGAAAAACTGATTTTTACTAGAAGCATGTATACGCTTGTAATTTTAACGATTTTGATAGGCGACAATATCAAGTTTTTAACACTTTAAGCGGTTAGAACTGACTTTGAGCAAGCCTTAGAGAGGACATCTGGAAGAAATTGCCAACAACTAGAAGAAAAACAAAGCCTTTTAATCGATCTTTTGTTAAGTTGAAAAAGGTTCCAATCAGAAGACGATTTTCAAAACATAAATTCCCTGGTTATCTCTAGGGGGTAGTAACTTAAAGAAAGATGGCGGTTTAAAGGTCGATAACAAATTTTTTTATTTTGTCTTTATTAATTTTTGTTAAAAAAACTTTATTTACTTCGTTTTGTTTGTTGCTTGCTATTCTAAAGTTTGCAAAAAATGAGTTTAAATTTATTTTAATATGTATATTTTTCTTCTCTAACTCGCAGTGAGTATTAATAGTTTGTTAACCCCCTCGAGAAATTCTAATTTTTATGAAGCCGTTCAAGATAAAAATTTGGATGGTTGTGCAGTGCCGAAAGATTTTTAATATTTCCTTTATATGCCGATGTATCTTAGTTTTTTGTTATTTTGTGGTCTTTAGTTACAACAGTAAAAGGTTCATATAGACTTATAATACACACACAAAAATTCTTCATCTATGTATTCTGAGCTACGTAGCTTATTATCACTTAAATACAGAAAGAAAGTAAACAGTTGTGTTTATGTTAAAATATAAACAATAGCGTTTGTGTCATGATGAAATGGAAAAATAATTTATGAAATCATTTATTGCTGATATTAGTAGCGATTGTTTTTTTTTTAAAACAGAAAAAGAGTTCATTACACATACACAGGTTATTAGGCAATGTTAGACGAACAATAATGATTATTATTTAAACACTCTTTTTTATTATAAATAGGAATATGTACACATATTCAGTGTCTTATACAATATAGTATTCTATATATATATATATATATATATATATATATATATATATATATATATATATATATATATATATATATATATATATATATATATATATATATATATATATATATATTTATATATATTTATACATATATATATATATATATATATATATATATATATATATATATATATATATATATATTTATATATAGTTATATGTATGTATAGGTATATGTATGTGTGTATGTATACAATTATATATATATATATATATATATATATATATATATATATATATATATATATATATATATATATATATATATATATATATATATATATATATAATAATAGTTGTAATAATCCTAGTAGTAGTAATAGTAGTAGTAGTAGTAGTTGTAGTAGTAGTAGTAGTAGTAGTAGTAGTAGTAGTAGTAGTAGCAGTAGTAGTAGTAGTAGTAGTAGTAGTAGTAGTAGTAGTAGTAGTAGTAGTAGTTAAATATTTTTAATCACTACATTTAATGATTAACACTTGAAATGCTTCTAATGATTTTAGTTTGATCACTTTTCTTTGCAAATAAAATCAAGACTTAGTTCGAACTTAATTTTTTTCAAAAAAATTCAAAATTCTTATTTTACTATACTTTGTAATTTAATAATAATAATAATAATTAAGCTTTTGTTAAAGTGTCATATGCATATAAATTTAATCAATGTTTGACCTAAATGGGCTGTGCACCTAGCATCCACGTCTCAGGGAGCACTGGAATTGCTAATGGTGACTCTATTTCAAATAGTTCAGCTGATGGACAATTTTCTCAGTCTGTTATGAAAAATTCAACTTCTCTACTAAATATACCCAAGTATCAAAATTTTAAGCCAAATTCTCGGAGTGCTGAAATACCACTTTTACAAGCAGAAAATTTGAGTGGAATACAAGATTTCTTAGTTGATTCAAAATCAATCACTCATTCTGCTCCTTATATTGAAGCAAAGTGTAATTCAAACGCAAGCCAATGTACAATCATGCCACAGATGGTAGATCAGGTAAACAGCTTTATTCATATATACTTTTTTGTCATGACATGTTTTTATGTTTTACATGTTTTTATAAGTATACCTTTTTTCATGCTAGTATTTTAATTTATACAAGTTTTAAATGTATATATATATATATATATATATACATATATATATATATATATATATATATATATATATATATATATATATATATATATATATATATATATATATATATATATATATATATATATATATATATATACATATAATATATATATATATATTGTATGATATTTTGTATTTGCAATAAAATACAAAAAAATCTTGTACGTATAAGAGTGCTCAATAATAAATAAATAGGATTTATTTATATTATTTAATAGAGCATTATATTAATTTATAAAAATAAAGAAAACAACTTTTTATGGTACTAATAGTTTCATGCCTAAAGGCAATCATCAGCCATGTAATAACTCATGGCTGATGATTGCCTTTAGGCATGAAACTATTAGTACCATAAAAAGTTGTTTTCTTTATTTTTATAAATTAATATATATATATATATATATATATATATATATATATATATATATATATATATATATATATATATATATATATATATATATTAATATCAGCCCCAGATGGGGCTGATATTGAAGCTATGGAATGGATCTGTGAGATTTGCTTACAAACAATGTGAAAATAAATGTTTAACATCTGGAGCTTATTGCCCCCATTTTTTAAATCTTGAGTCTTTGTTAGTTGTAACTTTTTAGTTTTTTTTTCACAGTAAGATTATAAATTTTTCTGATTAAAGCTATTGTACTTAAAGAAATATGTGTTGTCTATTACTTAAAAACATTTTCAGTTTAAATTTAATACTTTTTTACTTATTTCAAATAGAAGAAATGAAAGTTCTTGAAAACATGGAGCTTAATGCCCCGCTTTACCCTAAGTTGAAAAATATTACATATGAAAAAATTTTTATGTTTTCAGGATAAGTAGTTTGCCTAGGTAAATTATATATATATATATTTTTTAAAAAGTTTTTAATTAAAAATATAAAACTGAAAAATTAAATAGCTTTTTAAAAACTATTAATGCTCTATAGTTCTTTGTTGTTGTTGTTTGAGTTTTTTAAAAAATATTTAATGACAAACTTTTTAACCTAAAAGACGCTTGCAAAATTGTAATAATGAATAAACATTTTTTTCCTTTTTTTTAATTTGTGTAATTATCTAATACTTTTTAAAGTTATATTTTAAATGCACTAGATGTTTTTTTTTAATTTTGTTTATGTAAGTAAAATGCTACTCAATCTAAAAAACAATATTAAATTTAATTAAATATCTATATATTTTGCTGTTTAAAAAATAATTGTATTTTGCACAAGCTTTTACTCCCATGTAAACTGACTTACACATGTGTAGAGGAATGTGCGAGTGATTGCCTACCATTTCTGCCAAGATTTTGAAGAAAGCGAAATCATATAAAACTTAATTATAAAATTTAGAAAAATAATTATTGTTTTATAAAAAAACATTGATAAAAAAAAGTTATAATTAAAAACTGTAAAAATGCATATTTTTTAATTGTAGTTGAAAAATGTCATTTTCTAGGCAGTAAAATTTAAAATAACACTTTTTTAATAAAATGATGATTATTCAAAATTTTTATATAATTTTGCTTTATTTGATATCCAACATGACTTACTTACGGTGACTGCAACATGATTATCAGGTAATCTTTAAGATATTGAATCCTTCCTTACCAATCGTAGTATAAAAGTTGTCCTCAATGAACTTCTTCATATCCTGTAATTTCAGGGGTTATTCAAGATTGTATCATCAGCCCTATACTTTTTAATTTACATTAATGATCTTCCAGATATTCTTACATCTAAGGTGGTATTGTTTGCTGATGATACTACCATTTATTCTTGTCTTGATAAGAAGCCGACACTCTGATTGCTTGGTGGGGGCATTAAAGCTTGAAAAGGATCTCACCTCTTCTACAGCATGGGGCTCTCAGTGGCTGGTGAACTTTAAATCAGATAAAACTTTTTTTCAGCTAATTGTTATTGCAATAATCTAGATCTTCCTATATTTCTATCTATATAATCTAGATCTTCCTTGATGAGTCATCTACCCTTCGTCTTTTTGGATTAACTCTTACTAATGATCTTTCTAGGAAACTATATATCAAATCAATTGCAAAATTTGCATCTGCTAAAGTTGTATCTCTTAATTGTGCTTGCCACTTTCTTACTCTGGCTACTATTTTTTATCTTTATAAATCTCAAATCTGTCCTTGTATGGATGCTCTTTCTTTTTTTAGACAAAGTGCAAAAATTAATTGTAAACCTGCACTTCCAGCTAACCTCCAACCCTTATCACATCGTTGTAATGTTGCTTCTCTTTCTCTTTTCTATAAATACTATAATGGGTACTGCTCTAAAGAGCTAGTTTCTCTTGTTCCATCTACTAAAATTCATTCTCGTGTTACTCTTCATTCAATTAATTCTTTTCCTTTTACTTTGACTGTCCCTAAGTGCTCCAAAAATTCTTATTCACCTCATATTTTTTCCTTGAACATCAGTTCTTTGGAATTTGCTTCCTTTATCTTGTTTTCCTGATTCATATGATATGCAATATTTTAAGTTGTCTGTTAATCATTATCTTGCTCTATAAACTTCATCTTTTCTCTTCCAGTTACTTCCAACTCTAACAGTGTTTGCTTTTAGCCTTGTTAGAAGTGAAGATAATGAAAATAAAATAAAAAAATAAAAATATATTTTTATTAGCATTAGGGACCCATAAAATATTCAAGGGTCTTAAAGCACCCCTAAAAATATTTTTTATTAAAAAAATTTTTAAATCCAGTGTTATTTTATCATATAGAACACATAAAGGTGCGAGCTGCTGATTTTTTTCGAACCACTCTAATATATTTATATATGAACCACCCTAATATATTTATATACAGTAACATATCCAGATATTTTTTGGGCAACCTGGTTTAAAAATCCTGTATAGATTAAGAGGACCTTCTTTTTTTCTTTTTTTTTTAAAAATTTAAATATAATTATTTATATAAAATATATCTCGTCCTAGTATTTTACGTTTTTCCTAATAAATACATAAATAATTAACCAAAATAATTTTACATTTATTACAAAATGATAGCTTTAACGTCAACACCGGTTTGTTGCTAATTTTCATTTACTTGCTTTATTCGCTTACTAATATAAAGAGTATGATTTCATAAACATTTTTCAAATTCATTCAAAATTTTAATTCATTCAAAAATTAATAACTTTTTTTTCTTGTTCTATTTTAACTTTTCAAATCAAGTTTTTTAGCATGATTATTATGTTATTATGTTTTAAAAACTTTTGTTTTATTAATTAAAATATATTTAATGCAATTTTACTGTTATTTGAAATGAAAAAGTTTAAAGCTCATATAGTTTAATTGCTTTGAAAATTATGTTATGAAAACATAAGCAGAGGAGAAACTCAAATTAGAGTATTTTTAAAATGTTAATGTTTTTATTTAAAAATGCTGAGCATTTCATATTTTAATCCAATCAAAACGTGCGTTTTACTTTTTAATCCCATTACAACATATTCCATATTTCATCAACGTGAATTCGAATTAAGCATTCTGATTGACTTAAAATACATTTATGATATGTTTTAAAAGTCGTTTTTTAAATATTGGTTTTTCTAAGCAACATTAATAACATAACAAGTTTTATTATCATAATTATCATAACAAATTTTATCACAAAATAGCAAGACAATAAGTAATAAAAAATTATTTCATTTTAATTTTTTAGGTGCTAATATAAAATTGTTTTAAATTAAGTTTAGGCTGAAATTTGGGGCCTATACCAGTATCAACATCGGCCTGGATACATCGCTGATATATGTTTATATAAATATATGATACAAATATTATATATAAATATGTATTACAGGTCTCGGCAGCAGCGGTGAATTATTGATCACTCTGCCTGACCACAGTTATAGTTCAATTTTTTTAGTGTGTATTCTATAGCTTGCTGTTTCCGCTTCGGTCTGTATTGAATATAAATATATATTTTTATTTAAAATCTTAATAAAATAATTTTAATAAAAGTATCAAATGGAATGATTTATTTAAATTCTAAATAAATAATAAAATAAAAACAAAAAAGAAAACCTTTTTTTTTTAATTTTGAATAAAATTATCAAAAAAAAAACACGAAGAAAACCTTCTATTGATAATTCTATATGAAAAAATTAAAATATGAATGAAAAAACTAACATTTTATTTCAATCTAATTTGTGCTTGGTATAACATTTGGAAATCAGTGAAATTGATTTTTTGCTTCTTCACTAATCTTATGTATTCTTAAAATTTCCAGTCATCTAAAATAATTTTTTTCCTCATATTGGTCTTAACTATTATTAATAGATTTTTTCTGATTATTTCAAAATATCACAAGTGAGAGGGGGGATAGCAATTTGGTTTAAATACATCCTGTTTTACATTTTCAAAATTTGATATATCTGATAAATATTTTGATATCTTAATATATGTTGTTAGACCAATTTTTTTGACATACTCTGAGCCGCTGTGCAATACAGAAATTTTATGTCTAAATATGTCAAAATGTTCATTAATGTTTCTATTGCTTTCAGTTTTTTTTTTAATATCTAATACAAATAAACTCAAAACAATATAGAAATTTGTTAAAAAGTTAATGAGTAATAAATTTATATATTGAGAGAAAATAACTCTTTCAAGTAAATATAAACTAAAAATTGTTACTTAAAAAGTATCATTTATAACTTTATCAAATCAATTAAAATATTTATTTAAATAATTTTTTTTTCTTTAAGTTTAATATAACTTGATTTGTAAGGAAATTTCTTTATGCTCTTTGGATACTGCACAATCAATTAACTACTTAACCCCCTGATAATAAAGGAAACTATTTTTTTCATATAAAATTTGTAAAATTAAATTCAG